GGGGGGTGGGGGTGGGTGGGGAAGGGGGCCGGGGAGCGGCCCGGCACCTCGGGCTGGGCTGCGGGCTGGGGGTGGGAGCCATGGACTCGGCGCCAGCCTTTGCCATGGACAAGCCGTTCGCCCCCGGCGCCGTGCGCGGCCCGGAGCCGCCCGAAAACGCTCAAAGCCGGAAAAACTTCAGCGTGAGCCACCTCCTCGACCTGGAGGAGGTGGCGGCCGGTATGAACGGGACCCCCGCGGCCGGTCCCCCGCCCGCCGGTGGCGGCAAGGCCATCCCGGAGCCGTCGGGAGGCAGCAGCGGCAGCGAGGCAGCGCCCCAGGACGGTGAGTCCCGCCGGGCGGGATGGGCTCCCGGGGATGGGGCAGCTTTGGGGATGGGGTGTCCCCGCCGTGTCCCCCTGCCCTGCCGCGGGGCGGGCACCCCGGACAAAGGGGGTCGGTGTCCCCCCGCGGATGGGAGGGGAGAACTGGGGGAGCGGGGGGAGGCGAGCTGCGAGGTGCCGACCCCCCGACGGCTGGGGCAGAGGGACCCCGCACCGTGAGGAAGGGACCCCGCAATGGGACAGGGGGCACAGGGACCCCGCACCGGCCGCCTCCTCGCCGGCACCGGAGGTGTCGGGTCCGGGACGCTCCCGGGAAGTCGGTCCGTGCCGGGGCTGCGCGGCCTGCGGGGTCCCCATGTCCCCCGGGGCTCCCGGTCTCGGTTTCCGGGCGCAGGGAGCGGGGGCGGCCCGGCGGGGCCGTGGGGACCGGGACACAGCGGGGCTCGTCCCGGCGGGGCCGTGGGGACCGGGACACAGCGGGGCTCGTCCCGGCGGCCGCAGCTGCGCCTCTCCGGCATCAGCGGGGACAGAGCCGGGGCTGCGAGAGGAGAGCGGGACCGACCCGGGACGCGGCTTCATGGCGCTCGGTCCGGGCCGGAGGCGCGTGTTGAACGGGACAATCCCGCTCGCATCTCTCCCTCCGCGCCGCTCCGCCGGTCCCGCGCATCCCCACTCCGGTCCTGGGGCTGGGCTGAGGAGGGATCGCCCCGTTCTTGGAGCAAGGCCATAGTGCCGGAGCAGCCGACGGCCCCCGGAGCCCCCCGGAGCCCGGTGTCCCCTCGGGACGCTGAGGTGACAGAGGGAGGCAGAGCCCTGCCATGCCCAGAGCCCGGGCCGGGTGCCCACCCCGCGGGGTGCCATTCCCCAGAGCTGTCTCCCGGCTGGGCTGTGCTGCCCCAGGTTTGTTTTCTACAGCCCTGGGTGCTGATAGCCCCGCCGAGGTGCACAGCCCTCCCGGGAATCTGTGCTGCTGAAGGGGCTCAGTCCCTTCAGTCCCCCCGGTGCTCTCTCTGCCCCCTCCCATGGCTCCTGCCCTGCGTGCAGGTCTGAAGCATCTTTCTCCGACCCACAACTCATTCCCTGCACAACCTCTTCCCTTCATGGACAGCCCCACTGAGCCCCCATCCTGCCTCTGCTCGCGCTGCTGAGGGCTGGGCGCTGCTTTTTGGGATGGTATCTGGTATTTTCAGTGGTGTTTTCCACCCTCCCTCCCTTTCCCTTGGGTTTTGTTTGTACTTTTGGCAGTGGCTGTGGGGCTATGGGGAGGGTTTCTCCTGCCTGTGGGTCTGTAGGGGGACAGTATTCCATATGGGATCAGCACAGCTTTGGGAAACCCAGTCTGCAGGAGTCTCACAGGGCTGTTTGCAAAACAGCAGAGAAACAACAGCCCTGCTGCGCTCCTAATGCACCCAGAGAACTCAGCGTGGACTCAGCGTGGTGCAAAAAACAGAGCAAGGCTGCACGATCACCACAAACCTGTTCTTCACCCTAAAAACACATTCCCCCCAGGCAGGGGCCCTGGGGTTTGGTCTGCAGATCCCAGCAGTGCTGGTCCTTGTGAGATCTTTCCCATTAGCACCTGTTCTGGCAAGCTTGCATGGATGGAGACACCATCAGCATCTGGAATGCTCTGACAGGCTGACCAGCAGCTGAAGCATTTCTGGTGTTGAAAAATACCTGGGAGCTGAGAGCAGTGGGCAAGAAGAGAGCAAGGAAACAGAGACAAGAACCTGTGTGCATGCAAAGCTGGACCTCTGAGACCCTCACCTGCTGCCACTGCCTTAACTGGGATGCAATTGCCTAAATTGAGATGGGAAGACTTGAAACACCAGTCCTGCCTTTGTGAGCATCAGCCTTTTGCTCCAGATCTGTGATGACAGCAAAGGAACTTTTACTGGTAACCTTATCTTTTACTGGCATCCTGAAATAAAACAGCCTCTCAGCATTTTCTCTCATCTTCCTCTTCACCATCGTGGGGATTTTCTGCCAGAGGCAGCTTTGGAGCCCCACAGCTGGTGGCAGTGGGTTTGTTATGAGCACAAGTGGCCACGGTGCCCCTGCATCTCTGCAGGATGTGGCTCTGAGCTCCAGGCAGGAGCCCTCGGGGGCTTTGTGCTGCTGGGTTGGAGGAAGAGCAGCCCTGAACCTGCTGTGGAGCTGTGGGACCCCTGCAGCAGGCAGGGCTCACCGGGGCTGCGCTGGCAGAGCTGGCACAAGGACCTTTAGGCAGCCCCAGGCTGTGCCAGCAGGCTCCAACCCCAACAAAACCCCCTCCCCTTCCCCAGGGAAGCTGCAGGGAGAGGTTTCCATTCCCGAGTCTGGCACAGCCAGAGAAGCTCAGGGATTTATTCTCTGCAGAAGGGGATTCAGCCCCTCCTGACCTCACCCCCCCACAGCCCTGCCTGCTGGGGAGGGTGGCTGGAGGCAGCCCCGTGTGCAGGGCCCTTGGCACACCTCCCCTCCAGAAGCCCCTTGCAGGGCTGGCTCATCCCTTTCTGCTGGCACTTGGGAGGCTTTTGAGGACCAAAGCCATGCCCAGCTTCCTCTCCAGCCCCTGCTCAGCCCCTGCCTCGGCCACAGCCCCAAACTGGCCCTGAGTGCACCCATCCTCCTAGGATGGTGAATACAAATATCTGTGTAACACATTGCTCTCATGACACCCAAAAATCAGAAATCCCACAAGCCAGGCAAGAGCAAGGAAAAGTCAACAGGGTGGTGAGAGCTCATTCACACCCTCATCTTCATCTTCATTCTCCCCTGGAGTGGTGCAACAGCCTCCCATGGAAAACCTTCGGCACAACTTCTGAGGTCTTGAAAGCTTGTTCACCTCCTTTCATTAGACTAACAAATAATGTGTAACGCGAAACATCTGTTAACAACAGCCCTTAATGTTCTCAAGATGATAAAGCAGGAGGGTAATTTTAGCCAGCAAGCCTTGACTGATGGCTTTTCAAACAATGAACTTACTTTTGGTGCCGCCTGGGGATGGGAGAGGGAGTCGTGCACTGGCTCCGGCACTGCTTTGGGGCTGAAAACTCAGAAAGAGTCACTTTTGTCACAGCTGAGCTGTGGCCCCTCCAGGGGGATTTTTTGGCATGGGGCAGGCATGCATTGATCATTTATTTGGCTACAGGCACTGGGACCTGGCAGTGGGATGGGGAGGTGTGGTGGCCCCTGGACATCCCATTTTAGAACAGTGCCTGGAGCCCCTTCCTCATCTCCTGGGACCCTCTGACCTGTTCTGGGGCTGTGAGGATGCTGAGCAGAGCAGTGATGAGGAGAAGAGAGGAGAAGCAGCACCCAAAGGGGCAGAGGGCATTAAGATGTTGTTACAACAAATTGGCTTTAATTATGTAAACCAGAGCAGCTGAAAAGGGAGAGGAGAGGCAGGGACAGGGACCTGGTATCAGAGGGGAAAGGGGACTTGGTCCTGGGGTTAAAATGGTGGCTGATTGCCCCAGGTAGCCCCAAACTCCTCCCAGGGCTTGAGTACCTTCCTTGAGCAGAGCCAGCGCAGGTGATGTCCGTGTGGTGTCCCCATCCAGGGACTGTGGTGGCCCTGGCTCACAGGACAAGATTTGGCTATGCTGCTCTGCCTTCCCAAATGCCACTTGTCCCCATCAGCCAAGGGCACAGCTTGGGGACACCTTGGCCTCTGTGGCTGTGCTGGCAGGAGGCAGCTCTGTAACACCACGGCCAGGATGTGCCTTTGGGGACATTGTGCACAGAGATGGCTCAGCCACAGTTAAACCCAGTGTCATTAACTCCTGGCTGATCCCCTGTGCCTGGCTCAGTGAGGTTGGGCCATGGGCACAGGGACACAGCTGAGACCCCCCTGCCCTGTAACCCCAGACCCACCAGACCTCTCTCTCCAGCACCCATCTGCTTTCCACAGCCCCAAAACTGCTGGGCACCCTCCAGGCTGAGAGGCTTTCCCTGATTTCTGGATGCCTGACCAGGGACAGGCAGTGTGTAGAGACCCCACACAGCCCCTGTGGAGAGGAGGAAGCCTTTGGGAATTGTCTGATGGATGTGGCTCAGCTCTCCAAGGAGAGGTCCCTGCTGCTCGGGGTGGCACAATGGTGCTTGCCATGGCACGTGGGATGGGGATGGGATACATGGAGAGGGGCAGCAGGGCTGGGTGCAGGATTTACAGCACCCATCATCCCCCAGTGCTCCCCAAAACAGCCCCAGCTGGGGGCTGGCTGCCCTCCCAGACTGGCAGATCTGCAGGGCCCTTGCTGGGGACAGTCCCTGTTGGCAGAGCTGGGAATGGTGACAGCTGAAGCAGAGGGGGAGGTGAATCCTCTCTGTCCTTGTAAGGCCAGCCCAGCCTGGGGGTGGCACCAGGACAGGAGCCGTCCTTGCTCTCAGTGACACATCACCTTGTCCCCAGCCCCTACCTGGGGACATCCCCTGCCTGGGACATCCCCTACCTGGGGACATCCCTGCCTGGGGACATCCCTGCCTGGGACATCCCCTGACTGGAGGGCTCTGAGGGCTGCACCCTCAGGACAGGGGGTTTTTCAGCAGTGCCCTTGGGGCTGCTGAAGCAGGATGGCTCCAGGGGAGGGGACAGTGCTTGTCCAGTGTGTGTGCTGGCAGGTGCCCAGCGCAGCATCCAGCAGCAATTAGTCAGTAAACACCAATCAATCCCTGTGGGAGCTCCCCACCCTGGCCACCTCCCAGCCCTCCACGTTTGTTTTTGCTTCCTGTGAGGATGGATGGATGGATGGATGGATGGATGGATGGATGGAAGGCCTGACAGGTCCCAGCTCACCCAGAGGTTTCCAGCCACTGACAGGGAGCCCAGCATATCCCAGTCAGGATAAGGGGGCTGTGAGGAGGGATCCATGCTGTACACCCCAGGCTGATGGACAGGGGACAGCCCCAGCCTGCAGTGTTCTGCAGCCAGGCTTCCCCTCCCTAACTGGGACACCCTCACTGTGGTTCTTGTCCCGTGTCTCTGCCACAGGACCACTGTCCTGCACATGGTGCCCT